ATGAACAGTGTCCAGTTTATTTCTACCAAGATAGCCACTCTTTAGGGGAGCCCTGACTGGGAAAGAAGTTAGGTTCAGGTGTGTTGGTCCTGAGACCCAGAGAAGGCAACACAGCAAAACACGTGAAATCACAGAAGAAGCATGTTACTCACAGATCCTAGAGAGGAAGAGGACAGCAGATCTCACAGGGTCAGGAGGAAGGGGGTAGACAACCAGACATGTACACTCAACCCATGGGTGGGGAGGAAGAGAGACAGAGGACCTGTGGACCAAGGCCTTTATTTGGGTTCAGGGTATTATGAAAGCAGGTTTTTCTCGGGAGTTCTAACTGGTGGGGTTAGAGCAAGCAGGCACCAGTTCTGTGGAGGTACACCGTGACTGAGACGGGGTCACTGCAGCATATCTGTGAAGTCCGTATGGGGGTGGGGGTCAATGGGGTGAATTGAGCAGGTTATATCCAGCTGTCCCATGGGGAGGTGGTCAGCAGGTGGTTGTTTAAGGCAGATAAATTTGAAGATCTGGGAGGAGGCAGAGAATTGGCAACTTGTGTTAAGGGTGACTGAGCCCTGCTTCTGGTGGGAGAAAGTTAAATTTGTATCCAGAATGAATGCTGAGGCAACACACAATTAAAATATTTCACTACAAAAGCATCCACAGCTCAAAGTAACTGAAAATGGAAAAATAAACATCAAGTGCCAGTGAATCATTTTCTATGTTCCTATTGCAAACGTTTGTGAGAATAAGAGGAATTCAGGGAAAAGTGTGTGGAAGAGAGAAGAGTGGAACTGGTGGAAGGCCTAAAATTGTTCTAAAACCACTGTCAGGGAGAGACCATCTGCCTAAACTGTGAAAGCATCCTGGTGGATTGATCTCAGTGCTGGCTAGGCAGGGACCAGAAGGTGAGGGCAGAGTTAGGAAACAATTTTGCAATGGTGATGATGCTGTGAGAAGAGTACTGATAAGAAGTAGCAGCATCCTTTGGAATTGCTCAGTGAAGGCAAGAGAAGCAAGAAAGGGAAGCTTAGAACCCTGTAAAAGAACAGTGAAGGGCATGCAACCCACCCTCATATGTTCTTTTTTTTCCCTCCAAACAGAAAAGCTATCCAGTAATATTTAAACAAATCAAAACAAGAACAAAAAAATCTAAATCAACAACAAAAAAGCATAATTTGCTACACTGACAGAAAAGTGTCCCCTTGAATAAATTATCTCACATACTATCCCAGATCACTGACCCTGCCTGAAAAAAAAAGGAAGAGAGTGATATAGACAATCTTTGTCTATGCAAACTACTCTAGAAAGAAAACAGAAAATGAGCATCCAAAGAATTTAGCTGAAGAAAATCCCTGCCATAAAAAAAAAGTTGAAGAATAACTGTAACATAGCACCCCAGACTAAATTAGATACTCTCAAAAGAGCATTTCAGGATATAGAAACAATCTTGAGTCAGAAGTTTAAAAACTAAGCACAGAAATCAACAACAAAAAGGAAAAAATGAAACAAGAAAGACTTTGCCACTGAGGAAAGAAATAGTTGGAAGGGTCACAATCATATTAAAGGTCAAGACTAAACTATGACATGCTCTAGAAAGAACAGTTTTGAATGAAAATATAATAAGGGGAATTGAAGAAAAGCAGGAAACCAGTTAAGAGAATGAAAATGAAGTAAAGAAATAAAAAAAGTCAGAAAAAGTGATTGA